TGACCATTTAGAAAAAAAGTCTAATGCTATTGATTTAATTCAGGTACATTTAAATTTTCCATGAGGAGTGTTCCTTTTCCCACCAAATTGCACAAAGCATAACAATATAGATCCCTTTTTCAATAATTTTTTAATAAAATGTAACTTTATCAATTTGTTTAGATTGTTTAAAAGGATACTTTGAAAAAAAATCATTATTTCTTGCTTTAGTAACTGGAGGACATCTCTTTACCTCTATAGAATCAATGCCCAAACTTAATATCCTCTCTTTTCTTGATTTTAGAGGTGAAAAGCCAGGCATCCTTCAAGCTAGTGGATCTTTGACAAAGATGCATTGCAAAACAATCAGAAAGGCATGCTATGTGTGAGTGATGATCCCTGCAGCATATGCCATAGGCTTGTTGTAGAGGAGCTGCTCAATAAATGGTGGATTCAGTTGAAACAAAGCTTTTTTGGATGCTTAATGGGAAGTTGTAGGGTGGGTATAATAGACTAAAAATTATTTCTAAAGAAGGTTATATATTTACTTGTATATATTCCAGAATCTTTGGGTTTTATCATTTCCTAAATTAAAAAATAAAAATGTAACTCTGTCCCAGATTAACTCAGATGTTAATACTTATATATAATTTTTTTCCTTTTTTCCCCTTTTAGGCATCTCACAGTATTTTCTGCTTGTCTGTTTAGGATGTTAGTTAAAGGAAAAGGGAATGATAGAAGTTTTTTTTCTTTTTCTAAAAATAAACTGGTTCAATGTTAGTATTTGCTGTCTATTTTAACTTCCTACTTTAAAGTAAAATTAGCAAAGTCTTATTGTTTCAACCTGATGTAAGTTTTATCTCCCTTTTTGATTATTTAAAGGTTGGAGTCTTTATCCCTGGCCTCAAAGGATGTAGACTTTTTTTTTTCATAGAGTGTTATTTTTGTCAGTCATTTTTAAGAGGATTAAAAATGTTGATCCCTTTCGTATTTCCTCGTCCCTTTAAAAAATTCTATTATGACAAATTTCAGACATACGAAAGAGTGCATCTTGATCACCTGTCTGTCTGTACCCTAATCCGTTAATCCATTTTTTTCTGATGAATTTCAAAGTAAGTTGTGGACATCTGTGTATTTCACCCCTAAATACTTGAGCATATACCTCATTTAACTTGATTTCTCTCTTACTTTCTACAATTTTATGAAAATGAGCTGTTTCCCATGGGGTCTGTCTTGATCTTAATCCTTTGAGGGTAAGGCTAACTTGTGGTTGTGTTAATGGTCTTCATCCCTACTGCCCTTTTTTTTTTTTTTAAATTTCCTTAAAACAAAAGGTACTCTCAAAAGGCGTATTACACATGATTAGCAAGATTCAGAAGAAGGTGGTTAAAGTTTCTTAGATGCCTTATACCTATGCTTTAGTTCTTGTTTTCTATAAGGAATGTTGCATGAGGATATTGGAAAAAAATTTAAAATTAAGAGTTGAAGGTGGAACCTAATCTATAAGGATCCATTATGTTGAAGCCAAAGAAGCAGGTCTAGCTATTTTAAGTAGGCTGGAGAGGTGTTTCTTAACTCTATCTGGGTTTTGTTTTCCTGTGAAGAAAATTATTTTAAGCAATTACCATTTTTGGTTACTGTAATATGACTCCTGTGTCCAAAAATTAATTACTTGTTTCTAATTATTAAAATAGAAAAAAAAAACTGATCAAATTTTGTTATGAATAAAGACCCTAGACTTACCTCAGTAATGCATTAGTTCTTAGCATAACTTTCGTATTTTCTGTTGCCTAGGCTTTGTGATCTTTAACAGGATTATTTAAGCCTGAAATAATAGAGAGACTATTTGGAGATCGCTGTTTGACTAAGCGTTTGGTCCCCAACATTTCCACGAATGTAGCCTTTAGAGAGAGAGGGTTGTTCCTCAAGCTGTAGTTTCTTCCAGAGACACTGCTTGACTCCTCCTGGCCTCCCTTCATAAAGGATTTCTGCATGGGCTGCATTTTAAGTGATCTACTTTATATTTTTAGAAAACTATTCAAAATTTATAAATAGCAACTCTAATCTTAAACTGCTCTCCAGTATGTCCACATTTTTGTGCTAGAGAGAATTATTAATAAATTGAAAACTGAATATGTTTGACTTGAAATACTGACATTGATCTCTGGTATTACCTGTTGTTGAACCTACTGTTCTTTTAATGTACAAAAGAGATGTTTTGTGAGGAAGTTTTTTTTCTTTTTTTTCTCCTACGCATTGTTACCAAAATAAGGCCTATTGAATGATAACTTTAATAGTAGCTTCTTAATATTCATAGAAACATTTAGATATCTAGGCTGGTGTATATAGTCCTTGAGCATTTGCAGAATTACTTATCTGAAACGTAAATAAGCTGTTAGTGTTGTGTTATTAATAGTGAGTGTTGACTGTCTAGGCACTATGCTAGTCAGTCCTATGGAGACATTCTCCCGTTGACTGCTCACACCAGTCCTGTTTCCAGAGCCCCCGAATGGTTACATTCAGCTGTACTGTCTTTCAGCAAGTTACGCTATTTGTATCAAGTTGGTTGGTGAAATCTTGTGGGTAATAGTCTTTCTTGAAAGTTTTGGAATTGGTGTTTTTGATGCTTCATGGAAAAAAATGAGTTTTGAGTTTTGGAACCAACATAGTAGATGTTCCACGCTGGGCAGTGTGTTAGACCTTTTATATTTAATTCTGTTGAACCTGTGAGATAAGTATTAGTCCAGTTTTGCCATTTGACGATACAAAGACTAAGGTGAATTTGTGTGAATTGCATGTAGAGCTTGGGATTCACTCTCTGGTCTGACTTCAAAGCCATCTTCTTTCTGGTGCATAGCCTTGTGCATGAAGTTGTTTGCCATTTTTTCCATATAAAAATTTTCCAGGAGGAGGATTTTTGCCTTAAACAAAAGAATAAAACATGTTTTATATTTATTTATAGAAAAGGATTTTTTTGGGGAAAGTTTATAAAAAGCAGTTGCGCACTAGAAAACAAGAAAGCTTTCGTGAAGGAATGCAGGTCAGAAGACCTAGCTAGGTCAAACTCATTGCTTACCTCATCTTGATAGAGGAGATCTGGCTTTTTGCTATGTGGTTTTTCCATCTTCCTTCTACTTTGTCTTCTGTAAGAGAAAAATATTGATAAGTGACATTTATTATAGGATATGTCAAATAATATATATGTGAAATTTCTTAAGATCTTAAGGCTGAGATAATTTTTTTATTAATTATGCTACTGTTGCTTCAGGGAACTAAGCAGTAAGCTGAAACCAATTCTGTGATGTGTATAGCGCAGTCATTTATATTATCTGGAGAGTTGTTACCTACATTGCAGTTTATCCTGATTTCAGTTTGACAATGTCTACATGTTCTTTTAAATTGCTTGCTGAGTTGGTGAGTTTTGTTTCTGTTATTTTTAAAAACTGACAACATCCTTCTGCTTCAAAAAAATTCAGCGCTGTAGTTTTGCTTGCAGCCTGTATTTTAGCAGGAAACCCAATCTCCAGCGAAAGTTTGAAAACGGGCATCTTGGCATAGGCTGCTGCCTGGTATTACTCAAAAAGAAGGGCTGTTCATTTCCAGCAGGTGTTAAGAGCTGAGTAAGGCCCAGAGCATGGAAATACGATCATCTCTGCCACTACAGAGTTACTTACACCTTTTGGTTGTTTGAAATTACTTACTTGGTAGCTCTGTTTGATATAGCAAGAAACAGACTCCTAAGCCACATTGAAATGCCTTTTGTGTTATCTCTACTTAATTTCTTCTACCCCCAGTTGATTCTCTCTTACCTTAATCACATTATTATGAATAATTGAAGAGCTGATGACACATTTTTCAGTCTAAAGTTTTCTGATGAGGACTAAAGCATCTGATCAAATTTCATGTTCATGATTTCAACTTCACAGCCAGTATCTATTCACTCAAAAGCTTTATTAAATCTCTTCTTTCGGCCGGGTGTGTTGGCTCACGCCTGTAATCCCAGCACCTTTGGGAGGCTGCGGCAGGGGGGATCGCTTGAAGCCAGGAGTTCGAGACCAGCCTGGCCAACATGGCGAAGAAACCTAATCTCTATGGAAAATACAAAAAGTAGCTGGGCTTGGTGGCATGTGCCTGTAGTCTCAGTTACTAGGGAGGCCAAGGCAGGGTAATTACTTGAACCCAGGAGGTGGAGGTTGCAGTGAGCTGAGATTGTGCCACTGCACTCCAGCCTGGGCAACAGAGAGAGACTGTCTTAAAATAAATAATTTCTTCTGTCTTCATCTTGAGTCCTTTCTTCTCTCCAAACATCAGGCCTTCTTTTACTGTCTCCCTTAATTTTCGCATTTTATTTAGTCCAGAGTCTTGTATCTTAAAAAACAGTAATTCTCAAAATTTGAGTATTCTGCTTCTAAATGCCGAAGTCCCTGAAGAGTCTTAATTCTTCAATAAATGTATGGTAGAATAATGCCATTGCTAAACTTTATAAAAACAGGGTTTTAAAACTAAAAACCACATTAATCTTTAATTTGCTAAAATTAGGTTTTTGATTAGCTTGTTTTATGATACCTGGCCTACTGGGCCTCCCAAAGTGCTGGGGTTACAGGCGTGAGCCACCACACCTGATCAAAAGAACAGCTTTAATAAAGCTTTTGAGTGAGGCTGGTGCGGTGGCTCACGCCTGTAACCCCAGCACTTTGGGAGGCTGAGGTGGGCGGATCATGAGGTCAGGAGTTCAAGACCAGCCTGACCAACATGGTGAAACCCCGTCTCTACTGAAAATACAAAAACTAGCTGTGCATGGTGGCGCACACCTGTAATCCCAGCTACTCAGGAGGCTGAGGCAGGAGAATTGCTTGAACCTGGGAGGCGGAGGGTGCAGTGAGCCGAGATCACGCCACTGCACTTTAGCCTGGGCGACAGAGCAACACTCTGTCTCAAAAAAACAATTAAAAAAAAAGAAAAAAAAAAGGAAAAGAAATATCATTAATAATTTGTATATTTGGTGTTTTTTTTGTCAACAGGAAGAAAGTAGATAATGACTATAATGCCCTTCGAGAAAGACTCAGCACCTTGCCTGATAAATTGTCTTATAATATAATGGTATGTTTGGTGTGTTTCTTTTAAAGTAATAGTTGTTTCTTGTAAACGTATTAACTGTGTTCGTTCACAGAATGTCAAGCTGATGGCTGTGTATGAGGTAACTACGTAGCAAGGAAGGTTTGTTTTGTTTTACTTTATAAGAACACAGTAATTGTAGTGATCGCTGGTATTTACCTTTTTTTTCCAGAATATATATGGTGACATAAATGACATAAATATTAGCGCAAAATTGGACATATTTCGAATAGAAACTTACTATATAAAAAATGTAATTATGATAGAAATATGGCACTTAGTCATTTCTTGTTAGCCAGAGCAGGAATAGGCCATAATGTTTTGTAATTCACAGAATTAAACCTTAGGACATTGATTTTTATATAAAAATGTGCTGCTAATTTTTGTTTTAATGATCTTCACATTGACATAGTGATCTGTTCATGAGCCCTGGGTTAGAACCTTTCATTGCATGAATATTCTTTCTTATGAAGACTTTGTTCTTTTATACTAGTTCAAGTATTTTGTATATATAGCTAGGTAGATCCATTAAAGCTGTTTGTTTACTAATTCCTGCTTTGCAAAAATGGCTGTTTTATTGAAAATAATTTTTAGTTTTCTTTATCAAAAGTATTTTGCATTGACAGTGTTTCACTACTGGTTGCTTTCATTTAGATTTGCAAGTGAATGAAAAGTATAAACGCTGTATGTAAATATGGTGTGGATTTATTTTCCTGTTTTAACATTGATTTATGAACATAAAGCAATTTTCTGTTGATTTTCCAAGTAAAATTTTAATATAAAGTTAAATTTCTGTGAAGCTGGCATTTTATTTTTACCAATGTATAAATAAAAAAATTCAGTGTTAATGTAAAGCTTTTAATGCAAAGTGTTTTATAAAATGTATTTTTCAGTGTTTTACGTTTTTTCCCTTTTTTCTTTTTTTTAAACAATAGGTACCATTTGGCCCTTTTGCCTTCATGCCAGGAAAACTTGTCCATACTAATGAAGTCACTGTTTTACTGGGGGACAACTGGTTTGCAAAGTGCTCAGCAAAGCAGGCTGTAGGTTTAGTTGAGCACCGGAAAGAACGTAGGTACCCATTTTAAATGATGTTTCTTTGTTGTGTATGTATCCATTCACAGATTGCCAAGCTGAAGGACTGTTTCTTACCAAAACTACCTTCCATGATTTATGAATCCAGGCTATTTGTGATTCTGTTGAATTGTAGGTAGTTTGAGTAGTACCAACATTTGAGAATGAGTTAGAGAATAGAGCATCTGGATTGGAAATGTCACCTACGTTGGCATGTTTTCTGAAGTTACAAAGTTTCAAAGTCATTATGTGATTTTTGTAGTTAGAAGTTGGGAAGACATAAAAATTGGAGTCATTTTATACTTTATAATTGTTTTTTTTTTTAGTTGCTATTACAGACTTATTTTTGCACTTAATACTTCAGTACACAGAAATAATGTGTTTTCTCCTTAGTGAACTAAGAGAAATACCTGTTTACGTAAGAAGACAATTCTTTAAAATGCTTTTTGGTTTGGGAAAAAAAACATATTTTCATTTGATAGAGGAGACCAGGTGTGAAAAGTTGCTACCTAAAACAGCACCCTTATCCTTTTTCAGTTGTTTGATTTCTCTGCATCAGTTTATTAAGGCAGCTCTTGAGTTTTGTTTATCTGTGCTATTATCTGTAGGTGTATAGAAGCCTACATACACACACACAGCACACACTACACATTTTGCAGTTGGATGAGATAGCTTGGGTTCTAGCTTAGTTATATTTTAAAATTAGGTTCAGTTTCTAATCTGTTGTTATTTCTGGAATACGTATTTAGACGGACAGTATAATATCCACCCTACCTGCTTTTTAACCTTTCAGTTAAATGTGTATTTGAAAATGAATGTTGGGAAGATCCTTTTGTATAAATAAGGTCATACTAGACAGAAAACAGCTGAGTTTTCTAAAGCTGAACTTGATTTCACTTATACATGAGTGAGTACTAGAGAACTCATTTACTCAGTGAAATTCTGGGAACTATATTTGGAGACTGTAATTGCAAATCAACTCCTATAAGTTTATAATTGATATATATTTTGATCTTTTGTGACACTAATCAGAATCTTATTGTTAGGCCTGTATGTAATTTCTGGCAATTATAAATCTTTTGGCTTTGCTGCATTATTTTTGTCATGTATATTAGCGAAAGAGAATGGGCATACTTTTTTCTTAAGGACCTTACTGAAGACGAAGCCTCTCTTTATATACTGAAGTAGCTCTGATGTTATGAAATGAATCCATAGCCTGTTGAAGTTTGTTCACGTTGATTTTCATATTTCAGTGAAAAAAATCATAATTAGTTATAACTTAAAATATTAATGGGAATACTTTTACAATAGAATAGAGCTCTAGAGTAGAGAAACATGTTTTGTTAAAACACTTTCTAGTAGTTAAATACGGTTTTGGAAAGTGACCAAACATAGGTGACTTTTGGGATCAATATTTATCTAAAATAATTTTCAAAGTACGTATTTCCTGTTACAGTAAATTCTGGGCTGGGCACAGTGGCTCATGCCTGTAATCCCAGCACTTTGGGAGGCCGAGGCAGGTGGATCACCTGAGGTCAGGAGTTCGAGACCAGCCCAACCAACGTGGTGAAACTCTGTCTCTACAAAAATTAGCCAGGCGTGGTGGTGTGTGCCTGTAGTCCCAGCTACTTGGGAGGCTGAGCTGGGAGGATCACTTGAACCTGGGAGATGGAGGTTGCAGTGAGCTGAGATTGTGCCACTGCACTCCAGCCTGGGTAACAAAAGCGAAATTCTGTCTCAAAAAAAAAAAAAAATTCTGTAAAGCTGTTTTATTCACATGGTTTTATATTTATAATAACTGAAGGAAATACTTAGGTATATTGTTGTACTTAACATTTATTAAGAAAAGGTACTTTATTTTTCTTACGGCAGAGGAAATACAACCAGTTAAACACATAGTCTTCTACATCATGGTTGACTGGGGTAATTGGAGAAGGTCTGAGTTACAACACGTGTCATGATTTGTTTAACCAGCACCACAGTCAGGACACAGAATAGGATACAAAGATACTGCTCTCAGGACTCAGCTCCTATCAAAACCTCCTTCACACCGCCCCTTGGTGGTCACACCCTATCGCTGCCTCTAAGGGTTGAGACCTCAGGTCTGTGTCTTTTGAGACTAGCTTCTTCACTTGCTGTAACGCCTCATCCAGGTGGTTCTGTATATTAAAAGTCATGTTTTTTATTGCTGAGGAGTGTTCCATTACATGCATATCCATTAAATGCACGTACAACAGTTTTTCCATTCACCTTTTGAGGGACATTTGGGTGCTTCCATTTGTTGGCAGTGAGGAACAGAGCTGCTGTAAGCCTTTGTGTACAGGTTTTTGTGCGAACATACATTTTTATTGCTGTTGGTAAATACCTACAAGTGAGATTGTTAGATCATATGATAAGTGTATGTTCAGTTTTTAAGAAAGACTACCAAGCTGTTTTCCAAAGTGACTGTATGATTTACATCTCTTTCAGCAGTGTGTGAGAGTGGTAGCTTTGCGTCTTTACCAGCCCTTGATATTCTCAGTTTAAAAAGTGTAGCCATTTGAATAGGTGTATAGTGGTTTTAATTTGTTGTTGCCTAATGATGTTGAGCATTGATTCATGCACTTATTTTATCTTTGTGTCCTCTTTTACCTGTTGAACTCTTTTGCCCATTTTTAAAAATTGGGTTATATATGCTTTTTTATCTTTTTTGAGATGGAGTCTCACTCTGTTGCCCAGGCTGGAGTGCAATGGGGTGATCTCGGCTCACTGCACTCTGTCTCCCAGGTTCAAGCAATTCTCCTGCCTCAGCCTCCTGAGTAGCTGGGATTACAGGTGTGCGCCACCATGCCCGGCTATTTTTTTGTATTTTTAGTAGAGATGGGGTTTCACCATGTTGGTCAAGCTGGTCTTGAACTTCTGACCTCAGGTGATCCACCTGCCTCAGCCTCCCAGAGTGCTGGGATTACATGCGTGTGCCACCGCACCTGGCCTGGGTTGTATATTTTCTTGTTATTTTATTTCATTTTATTTTTTTAAATTGGAGTCTCGCTCTGTCGCCTAGGCTGGAGTGCAGTGGCATGATCTTGGCTCACTGCAACCTCCGCCTCCCAGGTTCAAGCGATTCTCCTGCCGTGTGCCACCATGCCCGGCTAAGTTTTGTATTTTTAGTAGAGATGGGGTTTCACCATGTTGATCAGGCTGGCTTGAACTCCTGACTTCGTGATCCTCCCGCCTCGTGATCCACCCACCTTGGCCTCCCAAAGTGCTGGGATTACAGGCGTGAGCCACCGTACCCTGCTGCGTTGTATATTTTACTGTTGTTTTGAGAGGTTTTTTTTTTTTTTTTAAATATATTCTGGATTTAAGCTCTTTGTTAAATAGGTGATTTGCAAATATTTTCTCCCACTTTGCATCTTGTCTTTTCATTTTCTTAACAGTGTCATTCCAGAGCAAAAGTTTTTAATTATGAAGTTCAGCTTTTAGCTTTTTTTTTTTTTTTTTCTTTCTTTTTTGAGACAGAGTTTCGTTCTGTTCTGTCGCCCAGGCTGGAGTGCAGTGGCCGGATCTCAGCTCACTGCAAGCTCCGCCTCCTGGGTTTACGCCATTCTCCTGCCTCAGCCTCCCTAGCAGCTGGGACTACAGGCGCCCGCCACCTTGCCCGGCTAGTTTTTGTATTTTTTAGTAGAGACGGAGTTTCACTGTGTTAGCCAGGATGGTCTCGATCTCCTGACCTCGTGATCCGCCCATCTCGGCCTCCCAAAGTGCTGGGATTACAGGCTTGAGCCACCGCGCCTGGCCAGCTTTTAGCTTTTTTTAATGGATCATATGTGTAGTGTCATATCTAAGAATGCTTTACCTAACCTTAGTTCTTGAAGATTTTCTCCTATGTTTTCTTCTAAAAGTTTTATGCTTTGACATTTTACAATTAGATCTGATTGATTTTAAGTTAATTTTTGTTCGAAGTGTGGGGTTTAGGTCATGGTTCATTTTTCTTGCATATGGATGTCCAGTTGCTCCAATACTATGTTGAAAATACTGTTCTTTCTCCATTGAAATGACTTGGCACCTTTGTCAAAAATGAATTGGCAACAAGACCATCTTAGATACCCCACTAGGATGGTTATAATAAAAAAGACAGTAACACTTGTTGGTGAGGATGTGAAAAAATTGGAACCCTCATTCATTCCTGGTGGGAAACCACTTTGGAGAACAATTTGGAATTTTTCAGCAAGTTAAACATTGTGTTTTACTGTGATCTAGCAGTTCCACACCTAGATAGTATTCTACCCAAGTGAAATAAAAACATGTCCACAAATACTTGTACATGAATGTTAAGAGCAGCACTGTTTTTAATAGCCGAAACATGGTAACAACCCAAATGTCTGTCAACTAATGAAGGGGTAAGTGTCATACATCCATACAGTGGAATGTTGTTTGGCAATAAAAAGACATGTACCTTGAAAACATTAGAATAAATTAAAGGAGTCACAAAAGACCACATATTGTATGATTCCATTTACATGAAATATTCAGAATAGGCAAATTTATAAAACAAAGGAGAGTAGTGGCTGCTTAGGGCCAGGAAGCTATGGGAGAGAATGGAGAGTGACTGCTAAAGAGTATAGAGATTTTTAGGGGCAATGAAAATATAAAAACGCAGATTTTGGTGATGATTGTGCAACCCTGTGAATATACGAAAACCATCGAATTGTACATTTTAAATGGGTGAATTGTATGGCATGTGAATTATAGCTTACTTAAATTGTTAAAAAACAAATGAATGAGCCATTTTGTATAGTTGTGTTTTTGGACCATCTATTCTGTTTTTTTATCTATGTTTCTGTCTCTTTGCTGATGCCAATCTGTTTTGATTACGGTAGCATTATAAATGTGTTCCTTAAAGTTGGTAGTACAGGTGTTCTAATTTATTCTTTCCAAATTGTTTTGGCTGTTCTACCTCCTTTGGCTTTCCATACACATTTTAGAAACCACTCGTTTATGTTTACAAAAAGTCC